CAAATATGTGGAAGCTTGATAACATAATAGAGGCACAAATCGAGCCACTGATAATTCAGATTGGTGAGGATGACACTACTGATGAAGAGACAAATTCATCCAGTTGAATAATTTTGATTAATATTCCTTTTGATTTTACATAAAATAAAAATGATCAATAAAGGAATCTCTTTTCATATAATGCTTGAGTGCGCTGTGAAAAATCCAATGAAAATTATATTACACATATTATCTGCATTTTTCCCGTTAAACTGCAAAACTTGTACATTTCTCTCGTTATTATAAAAAAGTTTTCCTAAGTATGATATAGCATTTGCGATAAACAAGATGTTGGTTCTGAAGACGACCCTGGCCAATTCTTGGGATTTTCAATATCACGTGCGTATGGCATGTCAATGTTTACATCCACTATATCTTGGATTTGAATTTGCTTTAGAATTTGACATTCCCAATAAATCGAAACTAAAATGCATTGCAGAACAACAATAAAGGTACACTATGAAACATGGAGTAATGAAGTGAATTTCAATTTCAGTGCCATTCAACCAATCATGGTGACCGAAGAAGAACAAGCCAGTGTTATAACCTCAACATCTCAACAGCCAAGATACCGACAAGACACAGTAGAAGATGACGGAAGCAGTAATGCCTCTCCGAACACCTAAGAATTGAAAGATAGTAATATTTCAAAATTATTCCAAGTTCAAACACAGGAGTAGGTATATCATTTTGAGTGGATTATACCAAATGAAGATTTGACCCTGAAAACTTTATGTACACTGTGTTTGAATAATTCTTAGGAGAAAAGTGAAAAGACTTGTTTTGCCTATCTAGTGCCAAAATTGTTTGAACCATTACCTATTAGCTATGGATACCTAGTCATTTCAATGACAATCATCAAATTGAATTCTTTGCGAACAAGTTATTCACATTTCAGTAAAATGTCATGACATTTTTCTAAAATTTTCAATGCTTATTATGTCATGAATACCCACTAGGTAATAACACTAAAGATGTTTAAGTACCTACGTGGCAATAGCTTTTTCAGAGATTTTTGTTATACTATGGTGGTGCAATTATCTATACTTGGTTCATTAGTTACCAGTTTTTTTAAAATAGCTTTTTTTGTTGAAAATGTACACAAGATAAGTAGTATTTCAACAAAAACCTCTGGAAATTGTCGAATTCGTTAATTTTATTACTATTTATTGTAAGCATATTTCGTATAACGTTTCAATAGGTAACTGAAATCATTAATTCAAATTGACAAATTTGATTTGCTCTTGAAACTAAAATCTTGCCAGAAATTTTGTATTTGTTCAACCTATTGAAAATATTTTAAGTTTGCCCCAGTATGAGGATATCTGTGATAGTAGCAAATATGATATGACGATATAGGAGTCCCAATTGCTTCATTATTTATTTTAAGTTGCGTGTTTTTATTTACCTGGCAAATGTACTTTACTTATCAATGGCTTTTCATCAAATGAAAATCAATAGATTGTTTTGTGTTACATAATAAAAGACAAAAATAGATGGCTTTTTATAAATATAGAATTTAGAGAGTGAAAATAAAAGATTGTGATTCGTGTTATGGAAAATAATAATACCTACTACAATAATATTACTCCAAATTTTATTGATAAATTTTTATTTTCAAACTAAATGAGACCGCAGAGCCAGTACCCGTGGTCTTTTTGATTTTAATGAAATTTCTACTATTCTAAATGTGACATTTTTTAGCTCAAAATAACATCACCAGAAGTATCAGTGGTAAAAGTTACAATAACAAAATAAGAAAGTACGCGGATAACTCCAAAGCGAGTGGGTCTATTCGGTCCCCCACTGAAAATTCAGCGTTTGTTTGATAAATTCCAATATGTTCTGGTCCAATGAAATCATCTGCTGTGCGCTTCCACAAGGCCAGTATAGCCTGGAACCCACACCAGAAACAACTTGTTGAATCTTCCTATTGAGGAGAGTTTTTTCTGAGAACACTACTAACTTGGAAGTTTCGAATACAACATGAATTTATGGCAAGTCAGGCACCTTTTGTCACAACATGTATATGTTGTACATTTCTCTCCAGAAAGATGTTGATACTGTACCTATTGACAGTGTGGTATAAAAAGCACCATTCGCTTCATACCTGATCATTGACTTGACAAATGTTTTGTACTTTATTTTCACTTTGATAATCCTCAATGAATTATTTGACTTCTCCAAGAATACTCATTTTTTATTTTATCATGACGTAACCCTGGGCAAGAGTGGGTCAATTCAGACTAGAAAACTCAGGTGTCAACATGGGATCGGCCAAAACGAAAAAGTACGTGGTCATACTCTCACAATGCAAAAAGTGGAAAATGAAGAATCATCCCGAAAACATGCTGTTGAGCAGAAACACCTGGTATACTGATAGATCGAGAACCGAACATGGGTCGATGGCTAGAATATACTGAGAGAGGAGAAATCTTCATTTCAGTTACCCGCTTGTTCACTACACATCACTCTTCTAGGCTAAAATGCATGCAATCTTGCGATTCGCAAGGAACATCAATTCGAGTCCTCAACAAATTGAGCAGATCAAGTTTTTCACGAAAAACCCAGCTGCACCACGGGTACTGACGAACGCAAAAATTTCATAGCGATTGGTCTGGGAATATCGTGAGGAACTGGGAAAACTGGCGAGCATAAATAGATTGACTATACATATACTAGGTGCTAGGATACTCAGGTATCATGTGCAACTGAAAAGCTGATGAGTGTGCCAGACACAGATCCTCAATTCCATTTATCCTGGACCAGCTGTCAGGGTACAAAACCAGATCAGGGAATGGGTCTTTAGGAAACATGAAGTGAACAGGGAAAACAGACCCGGAAACACAGTGGGAAAATTGGAAATCTTGATAAAGGAACCGTTTGAGGAGAGAACCAAAAAATGCTTCATCAAAGCCGGCATGGCTTCAGTAGACAGAGACAAAGGAACAGAGACGCCTTCAAGGAAGCGGAAAAAACCCCTTCTATCAACGGTAGCCCTACAAGAAGTGGAAAACAAAGCAAGGAAGAAGGTGAAGAGATATTTGCTATCATTTCAGGATTTTGGAAGACGCAACAAATAACAGAAAAACAATTTGACGACAGAAAAAAATAAAATGAAATACGATGTACAGATAGAATGCGGTTACAGTTGATAAAGAAAAATAATATAATTGAATATACTGCTTCGAACAACTAAAATGAATAAAACTGTAGAAAGAAGATTAGTCAGGAGTATCAATCAAAGGAGATGATGGTGACCAAAAAAAAAAATGAACCTAAATACAGAATAGGGAAAAACAGTGACATTCACAAATATGTACTTACATAATATAATTTATGAATCTATATAAACAAAATTAAAAAAAGACATGTCAGTTAGCTGAATATATCTAGGACACGACTAACAGTATTGAAGGTATCGCACATTCTATAAATTGGGTGTTTTTTCATTATATTTGTTCGCGGAGTGTTGGAATAAAAGGTGACGCTATTCCTAGATGGCCGTCTAGGATGCCAAAAATTCAACATATGTAACAATTGAGAACAGGTAATGACATTATTTATGACCTTGAATAAAAAAAGAAATGAATAATATTTACGCCTCACCTCGAGACTACAAAAATTGTGAGTTTCAAGCAATTTATGATAAGGTAGAATAAGTGCTTTCAAGTTTGAAAGACATATGTTTTAGGAAGCGCCTCTGTATGGCTTCTAGTTGATTTATATGAATCTGATAGTAGGGACTCCACACAACAGATCCATATTCCAGCCTAGATCGAACAAAAGTGAAATAAAGTAATTTCAATGTTGAAGATTTTTCGAAGTCACACCGCCATCTTGTACAGATTTTACTCTGGCGACCTGCAAGTTCTTAACTGTCTGATTAAGTTTGCAATATCTGCTCTAAATGCGTTTATTCCTACCTTCAGAGAAGAAAGAGCAATATTCATCTTGGATTCAACCACATTTTATAGGCCGGACGGGTCAATAAGAATGCAGTTCCTCAAACAGTTGTCGCATTTCCAGCATAACACTGGTATACTATCTAACAATTTGATGAGTGTACTACCTCCTGTTTTTGTTATAGTGATAGCATGCCCTCGCTAATAATGCCAGGCACATTTCGGCTCACGGATGGTCAACAGGAAACGCAGTTAACCATTATGAATCCGAGTTCCATTCCAATGATTCGAACCTATCCAAGTGGTGTGTTGGATGCCAATGAGACAATTTGCGAGGTTTTATAGTTATTGAAGACACCATGCACGAGATACACAACATTTACTAGAGCACGATGTGAATCGTGCCGAGACTTACTAACTTTAATAATGAAAAATCACGGCAACAACTGAAGTTCCCCCAGCCTTGAACCGATTCTTCCAGGTTTGAAAATTTGGAACAGGTGAAATGTTGCATGGTAGCGGTCTTAGAATCTACATTTTCTAGAGGTGAAGAAGTTATTAGACAGACAAATATGACATGAACATTTCAATGTGAGAAAAGTGTGTTCTGGAATAGTGCCTAAAATCGTAACCCCCGAACAAATCAACTTAGGAATGGAAATTTGATATAACATATTGAAAAATATCAAGAAATATTATAATATGTTGAAAAGAGTTATCACATGTGATTAGTAATGTTTTTTAGCTATGGCCCAGAAGTGCCAATCAGTCACCACGACTGGATGCCACCATTATTGTTTTTCTCGACGTCCATTGGATTCTATATGAATTGGGTACCTGCAGGCCAAACAGTGAATGTAAAGTATCATATTGAGATACTAAACAGTTAGAAACAAGCGACCAGAGTTGTGGAAGTCAAGGATGCTTCTTCAGGGCAATGCTTCAGCCCACACTGCACTGATTTTTGAGTCATTTTTAGCGAAGTAAAATTTGATACAGAGAAAGCTGTGAGGTGGACTCTCAGGTGATTGGTCATTGTTTAAATGTGACAATTGAACAGTTCCAATTTTTTTCCATTTGTGGCAAGTATACTATGCCCCAATCGCATTCGAGTATTATGATAGTGTTAATGAACTCACCGTTAGTTTGGCGAAATTTTGTTCCGGATATTTGAGAATCGAAGATGAGTTCCGAAGTGGTCGACTTACAATAATCCAGATCGAGGTTTTGAGAACCCTAGTGGAAAATAACCCATCACAAACGGTGTGCAGGATGGCGGAAGAACTCATGCGGTTTTTGATGGCTTGGAACGTATTGGAAAGGCCAAAGAGCTCGAAAAGAGGGAGTTCTACGATTTGAACGATCGACAGAAATTGTAACGTTTCCAAGTCTGTTTTTCTTTGCTTCGGCGCAACCAACAATATTCTTTTTTGGATTGGATCGTCACGTGTAATGAAAAGTGAATCATCTACAACAGGAGACGTTCAGGATAGTGGTTGGACAGCGATGAACCACCCAGGCACTTCTCAAAGGCGAAAACCCGCTAAAAAAGACCACGTTTACTGTGTGGTGGTCAGCAGCTTGTGATTTACTTTCTGCAACTGAGTCAAACCATCCCAGCAGATTTCTATTGTGTGAAAATCGACGAAATGTACCGAAAATGGCTTCAGGAGCAGCAGGAGCAGCAGGAGCAGCAGGCACTGGTACAGAAGAAGTCCGATCCTGCTCTACGACAATGCTCGTCCTCACGTTTCACAAATCCCGTTTAAAAATTGAACGAATTGAGTATCAAAGCTCTGTCTTATCCACCAAACTCCTCAGACCACTCGCCAACCGACTACCATCTCTTAAAGCACTTCGGTTACTCTCTCACCGGTAGACCTTCGCCAATCAGGACCAGGCAAAATCAGCCTTCGTCGACTTCATTGTATCCCGAACACCCAATTTTTATGCTGACGGAATTGATCGACCTGTTACATTGGCAAAAGTACACTGATTCGAATGGCGTTGATTTCGATCAAATTGAATACGTATTCACTGAGATATTACAGTTTAAAGCAGACTCATAAAAACAGACAAAATTTTTGAAACAACCTAACAGATATTTTTTGGGAAAGAAAGGAAAACGAAAAGGATGAGGGAATTTTCAAAAAGGAAGTAATCAATTTAAAAATAAGTAACTCTATACATGGATGTATAGATCATGCAAAGAAGTAACTTTCAGACACAAACTGAAAGAAAGTCCTCCTGAAACAGCTACTTTCATATAAACATATAAACATATAAACATATAAACATTCTTTTCCCTACTCAGTTTGTATTTCAAACATTCGTTGTGGAATAAAAAAAAAATCAGATATCATTCACATGAGTTCTACTTTAAATGAATGGTAACAAATTGCACTTGCATGGAACACTATCATCCTCACTGGTATACATCGATGTTTCGTCTTAAGACACTCACTCTCTTCAGTACCAAATTGGATAACATTATAGAAAATACATACAATTCATTAATGAATCACGATTTTTAATGTCACGGAATTCAATGTTTATATGAAAGTAGCTGTTTCACGAGGACTCTCTTTCAATTTGTGTCTGAAAGTTACTTCTTTGCATAATCTACACATCCATGTATAGAGTTACTTATTTTCAAATTGATTACTTCCTTCCTTTCT